TCATTTATGTAGTTTTTTTTCGGGTAAATTATAAATTTAGTAACTGAACTTTATTATCTCTCCTATTTCACTCATTGTACTTTGAATTTTTTCAATTTTCTCACTGAACTTAATACATTGGGTTTTTTTGTTCATTCAACCGTTTTCTCACTAACACCATTATAAATGGGTTGTTATATAGACACAAAACGACGTTATTTTGATGAATTGTTTTTTAAAAAGACATCATTTTAACGCTCTTAACTATTTAACGGCAGAGTGACAAAAAAACTCAATGTATTAAGTTCAGTGAGAAAATTGAAAATGTTAAAAGTTCAGTGATGAAATTTGTAATTGACCCTTCTTTTTTCTAAGACAAATAGCTACTAGCTAGCCCAAGGAGCAATTGTATATTCTTGGTCAATTTATTACTTTAGTCCATACTATATGATCTAATTTCAGATTTAGTCCCTGTTTTTTAATTTGATACATTTGTTTCTCTAATTGTTATTGATGTAGACAATCTGTCCAAATTGTTAGCAATACTTTTTTTTTTCAAATGATTATTTTTGTATTATATCATGATAAAAAAATTTGTTTAGTCTTTATTCTTCGATTTTTAGCATTCGTGAGTTCTCTTATTATTTTAATTTGGACACATAGTAAAATAATTACTTAATTCAACAACCAACCCTTAAATTATATCATATTACCATTAATTGCACCCACAAAGGATATAAATATTACTGCTGCTTTCCTTTTACTTATGTCAGTAGCATATTTGCATGCAGGTCTTTCGGGGAGGGGGGAACTCCAATTCTTTTACCCATTAACATTTTCTAGGATTTTATCATTTAGTTTTTTTACTTTCGAGAATATATTTGTGGATGATAAATCTTGTTTTAGTTTTAATGTTTAAATAAGGGTGTTCAAACGGTTAATTTTATCACTGACCAAACTGAATTTTCATTAATCGAATTAATCGATTTTTTTTTGTTTAACCATTAATAGAATCGATTTTTTTAAAATATTAACCGAACTGAACAAAGTTAAGTTATTTCGGCCATTTTAATTAGATTAATTTGAATATAATAGAAGTATTTTTTTATTTGGGTTAAAATTTTAATTAGGTACTAATAATTTATTGAGTTTAGTGTGATTAAAAAATAATTGAGTCTTAATTTTTAATGAGTTTGAGCTTAAAATATGTATTTAATATATATAATATATTTAATATTTAGTAATTTCTATTAATTAACTTAGTTCGGATCGAATTGATCATTAACTAGATATTGAAAAAAATGTTAATCGTTCGCCGACCGAACTAATTCAGTGGCCGACCGAATTAATCAAACTAATTCAATTCGGTCGATTAATTCCGTTAAAACCGAAAAATGAACACCCATATATTTAAAGTCTTTTAAGGGAAAAATATAAAATTGATCTATTATGGGTCAGAGTGTTACGATCAAAATATAAGATGGTCTCGTCTATGGGCGGGACTGAATACGGTATGGAATGATATATGCAAGAGCATTATTTGGACCGTGACAAGTACTGGCCAAAACCCATGCTCTGTGCGGTCGATGGTCACAAAGGGGAGTGGGACTGGAATCGATTTCGACACGATCTACCTGATTCAGTAATACTCGAAATCGCTGCTGTTAAGCTCTGCATGACGGAAGAGACGCGCAGGGATGGAAATGGGAGGATACACGGAGATTTTCCATATCCAGTGCATATAGGAGTAGAATAAACGTGGAGGAAGGGGCGGATATGCATGTGTGGAAAGCAATATTGACGTTTAAGGGACTGCCTAGAATCGTACCTTGCTTTGGCTCATTTTTCGAGGACTATTATTAACAAATGAAGAAAGAGTCCGTCGACATTTAAAGGATGACAGTAGCTATAGACAATGTGGAGCTCCGGTCGAATCTTTATCGCACACCTTTCATGTGGGTCCTATTGCCCGGACCACCTAGAACGAGTTAGTAAAACCGAACTACCTTACTGAATTCTTATGTATGGATATAGCTGAGTTGGTTCGAATATATCTAAAACAGCAAGCGAAATTCCCTGTACCGAGTGAGGATTGGGACTTTGTTTTTGGGTCGATTATATGGTGCATAGAAAATTTTGAACCTGAATTCATTGGCGATTTTTCCCAAAAATCACATTACACCTACATATTTTCCTGTCATGCACCGTTTAGGTTATATTTCTCAATCTAACATCCTTTGCAGAAAGGTACGCCCCTACATCACGTGGGGTAATGTACGTTTTACGCCACGTGGGGTAAGGCGCGCCCCTACAACTCGCCTTGTTAAACATGTAAAAAATTTGAGTTTTAATTTTGTAAATATTTTTAAAGTGGTGCCTAATATGTAATTAATTTATGTTATGGTGATATTTGTGTAAAAACACCAACTTTATTTTTTTATATTATTTTTAACTATATTAATAATGTTTATTGACTTTTAAAATTAATTGTTTAAAAATATTAAAATAAACTTTTAATTACAATTGAGATGTCAAATTAATTATTATTCATTTTTTTAAAAATAAATAAAAGTGCAAAAAAATAAATAAAATATAAAGTTAAAAAATATTACTTCTTTATTTAAAATATTCTTTCTAATATTAATTTTAAAAAAATATAAAATTAATATTAAATTTTATTTTTTTTTTTAAAAATGAATAAACATTATTAATTGTTGTTAAAAAATAATAATTAATGACGAGACAAAACAGTTTTTTTGAAGATTGAATAGAAAAGATCAACTCTTTGATTGGATGTTTATTCGTGGTACAATTGAGTTGATATTTAGACAGCAGTTAGACAATTTTAAGTTATTGACTTTTTATGATCGAATTTTCATTCGATTCCTGTAGCTTTCCACACCTACGACTGTTTAACAATCATAAACTTGACTAAAATAAACTTTTAATTACAATTGAGGTATCAAATGAATTATTATTCATTAATTATTATTTTTTAACAACAATTAATAATGTTTATTCATTTTTAATAAAATTAAAATTTAATATTTATTTTATATTTTTTAAAATTAATATTAGAAAGAAAATTTTAAATAAAGAGGTGATATTTTTTAGCTTTACATTATATTTTTAATGAATTTTATTCATTTTAATTCATTTTTATTGTATTTTTATTTATTTTTAAAAAATGAATAATAATTAATTTGATCTCTCAATTATAATTAAAAGTTTATTTTAATATTTTTAAACAATTAATTTTAAAAATCAATAAATATTATTAACTTTTGTTAAAAATAATATCACAAAAAAAATAAATAGATAAAGTTGGCGGTTTTACATAAATATCACCCTAACAGAAATTAATTATATATTAGGCACCAGTTTAAAAATATTTACAGAATTGACACCCGAATTTTTTACACATTTAACAAGACGCGCTGTAGGGGGCGCGCCAGATCAACCTAAAGCGCGTTGTAGGGGAGCGTCTTTTTGCAAAGGGTGTTAGATCAAAAAATATAACTTAAACGGTGCCTGACATGAAAATATATTGGTGTAGTCGAATTCATTGAAGTAGAGGGCGTGATGTGACAACATATTGAGAAGGGAACACATGCGAGAGAAGCGCATAACACAACAGCCTTGGGACAGAGAAGTACTCGAGCTTCGATTAGGTGGAGACCCCACCTTCGGGATGGTGTAAATTGAATACAGATGGATCACGAAAATTAGTTGAAGACCTGTCCTCTTGTGGTGGAGTCATACGAGATACTAATGGTGTATGGATTGGAGGTTTCTCGAAAGTGATAAGGAGTTGCTCGGTTCTTGAAGCGGAGCTTTGGGGTGTTCTCGAAGGGCTGAATCTAGTCATGTATTACAGGAGTATTTAACCCTAATTTTTATATTTGTATCACATTGTACATTCGATTAAAATTCAAAGTGAAACATGACATTAACCCTATTCGAAAGCATAACAAGTCATTTTAATTTTTAAGAGATACAATTTAATAGCAATGTGAGTTTCTTTTTCATGAAGACAAGATTTCAAAGTTGGATTTTTTCTTATTCCAAACAAACCAGAAAGACAAAATGGTACATATCCATAGGTGAAAGATGAAGAATCTAAGCCCCACTACAAGTTGCTTAGGTGCTTCAATCAATCGAAAATAGAATATATGTATATCTTATCCATTCATGTACTTCCAAAAACGTGGAAACTTTTGTTTTACTGTTTAGTCCATGTCTGCATAAAGCAAATATCCCATGTCGAAGAGTCATTACAGTAATTAATGGTGTTCACTTTCCGTACGCAATATTACAATCCTTTGACATGACTTAAGACAAACTCACATGATCTATTGAATTTGTTAATCTATTATCAGAGTTAGATATATTATCAACTGACAAGATCTACTAAATTTGTTAATCTATGAGTAATCATCATAATCCTACACCAATAATAAAAGTGACTATAAAATCTCTTAGTGACTAAGAGAAGCTCTGGCATCACCCTCCACACATTCTCTCCTCTTCCTCCCTATGACAACAGAAAATCTTTTAATCGTCGATTGTATTTTTTTCGTCCAAATCAGAAGGATAAAGTCACAACTCAAATATTACCATCAATTAATGATCTACTCTCATTTTCTTAAAATATACAGTAAATAACATACATACATCAACTCAAATATTACCATCAATTAATGATCTACTCTCATTTTCTTAAAATATTCAGTAAATAACATACATACATGCATACACACACAAACTCATCTTCTCTGAAGATTCATATTCGCTTATCCAAATATAAAAAAAGGAGATGAAGCAGAAGAACTACCATCTACCATGGATTCAAAGGGGGTCCCTAAAAGGTCACAACATGAGCAAACCAGAGACGAGGAATATTTTCTTACTTGGTAGGTTCCACTACTTTTTTCCCTTATGCTGATTCCCTCTAATAATAATAAAAGATATTTTATTAAGTCCCTAACTATTATATATAACCACTCTACTCTTGTTGCGATAGTAGACACCATTTCATCAATTGATCTGATATCAAATAGCAACAATATAGAGATATTAAGATGGAGTCCAACAGGAAACGCCGAGGGTTCCTCAAGGCGAAGCTGACCCCATTGTACCGAGCAGCAAAGTCTGGTTCGGCAACGAGTGTGATGCCGAACCAGGCTTCCACCATGACAGCTTCGTTCAGCCTTAGGGTTCACCAGGACTACAAAGTTTCGCAAACGAAGCAGGTTTCGTTTTTCATACCTGCTGATAAGAAGAGAGAAAATTTAAGCCAAATTGATACCTTCTTTGGCGTTGCTGGTGATGAAGCTGTTGATTTCAAAGCTGCAACTTACATTTCTTCGGTCCAAGAACGTTTCAAGCTTGAACGAAACAGCTCTGAACAAGCTCAGCTTCAAGAAACTCACTAGATGATAATGGAGAAGCCTTGATAATTACTCTGTAAATTAGTATTAGTGGCCCATTAAGTTCCAGTACTAGACTTTTCAAATAAAGATTCCTTTAACATTTGCTATGTTGTTGTAGTTTTTCATTTTGTAGATATATAGAACTGGAAGGAGTTTCATCGAAGATTTCTGCTGTAATTCATGTGAAGGTAATTTGATTTGATATACCCTGTTTCAGTTAAAAATTCATTTCTTTATTTCAATAGAATTGAAGGTAAACAATGATCACTGATGTACGAATAAATTTCTTCCTTACAATTGAAGGTTTAAAAGTAACAAAAATATTAACATCGCCGTCTTATAATAAATCGATCACTCAACCGTTAACAATTGTATAGCACAAGTGATTAAGCACTTGAATCTCTCTCAAGAGGGCTAGGTTTGAATCTTTTCAACCTCTCTACTCCTTAAAATTTTACATTGATTTTGTTTTCAATAAGGTGGTGACATGTTTCATTATCTTATTGGGCAAATAAAATCAAGGGTAAATTTCATGTTTAGTACTTAAACTATTAGTCTTGATCTGTTTTAGTACATAAACTTATAATTTTTCAAACTCATACCAAAAGTTTAGTTTTATTTATTTATTTTAGCACCCCGTTGTTATAAATTTAAAGTGTTTAATACGTAAACTATCAGTTTTGATCCGTTTTAGTACCTAAATTTTCGATATTTTTCAAAACTTAAGTATGATTTTGGTACTAAATGTGTTTTGGTACTTAGACATTCATTTTTTCAAAACTTAAAGACGATGTACTAAAATGAAACAAAAAGTAAATTTTAGGTATAATTTTGAAAAAATTGAAGTGTAGGTACTAAAACAGATAAAAAATGATAGTTTATGCATTAAATGCGTAGTTTACCCTAAAATCAATTAAAGAATGATAAATGAATAATGGCGTCGTCGTTAATTTTTTTAAACAACAAGTGATCAAACCAAAAACGAAATATAACGTTATTTATGATTTTGAAAAAATAATAATTAAGCGACTAAAACAAATAGGTGAGTGACTTAATTAGATAGTTTACCCAAAAGATTAATAATTTTTGGGTAAATTAGTTATCTAGCCACTAAATTATAGCATAGGTTCTATTTTGACCATTAAACTATAATTTTTTTTATCAATTAGGTCATTAAACTAGTAAAAATATTTTAATCAAGCCACCGACCATTAAATGTTAATGAATATATGGACACGACAGTTAAATAAATTTGTATCTAGGATTTTAGGATTTAGAGTACTCTCATATAATCATCTTGTAATTTACGACTGATTACAACAAAATCCTCTTGTATATAAGGTTCTAGAGTTTTCTACGTAAATTTGTATGTTGTTGTCTTTATTTCTTATTATTTTACGATCGTTTACTTGTCATTATCTGTAACGATGACCAGTGACAGATGCAAGTATATTTTAGAGTGGACAAGTGTTTATTTTGAAATTCGAATTTCTTTTTGTTAGTTATTTATTTTATCGATTATGTTTACTATGAGATTTTATTTGTGTCCACCACATATAAATTTTTTATAATAGGAATATAATCATGTTCATCCTCAAAACTTCTGAATTCGCCAGTGACTAAGTCGAAGGATATGATAGTGTGAACAAAAGTGGCGGTGTAGGTGGTTTGAAAGTTGGCAACCAAGCCCTTGGAGGGACAAAGGGTCATTTTTAATTACAATTCATGCGAGAATGGTGGTTCGGTTGAAGTGAAATGAAGAGCTGATCCGAAAGTAGGCAACCGGAGTGGTTCATGTGAATTTTCCGGTAACCGGAGATATATTCATGGTGTTTTCGAAGTTTCACTTTTATCTCGCAGGCCTAAACTGTCTTTCCAGATATATCAATATACTTCATAATCATGGGGTGAATAAGAAAAATCCTCAAATTGAACCATTTTAATTTAACAATGAAAACAAGATTTTAAAAGCAAAGAGCTCAACTTTCCCATGCAGACGTATTCGGTGACAAATACAAGATTTTATGTTAGAATGGACGAATTTATAAGGAGAAAGACAAACTTATAAAATTTTAAGAATAATAACAGATTTTCAATAGAAAATATAAAACAAAATCTAAAATATATACGAATTTAAATTTTTTTAAGGGAATAACCATCTCTACCCATCCCTCTCTGTCGATCCCTGATATTATTCTCCATTTATCTCTTCGACTACATATACATATATATTTAGAAAAGCAATAAAGCAAACCAAAAGAAGCCATGAAAACGAAATAAATATTACAAGTTAATGGAAGCAAAAGAATTTGGTTGGTTCTCCGTAAAGCAAAACCCACTAAAATTTCCATGCCTCATTACCTTATCTCTTCTTTCTCACAAAGTTTCACCAACCTCATTCGCCACCAAGAAAACCTAAACCCTACATAAAACACAAGGCATCGGAAGAGAATATCAAGAGAAGTAGAGAAATGATCAATGCAGATTGGGGACCGGTGGTTGTTGCGGTGGCGTTGTTCATCGTGTTGTCGCCGGGGTTGATGTTCCAATTGCCGTCGAGGATTAGAGTGATAGAGTTTGGGAACATGTGCACAAGTGGGATAGCCATCTTGGTTCATGCAGTTATATATTTCTGCATATTCACCATCTTGATCATGGCAATCGGTGTTCACATACATGTTAACTAATTCCTCTAAAGGGTAGGCCTCTCTCTTGATTATGCCCTTTGCTCTTGTTTTAATTAGTTTTCATGGTTGTTTGTAATTGTAAAAGAATTGCTCAACTGTGTAAAAATGAAGTTTATGTTGAAATAGTGATTATAAGGGTGGTGTTCTATTTTAAGGAAAACTCAGTTAAATATATAAATGGTCCCTAATTATATAGGAGTGTTGTTTTGTTGAGTCTCCGATTATTAAAAGTTACAAAATGATCATATGATTCTAGGACATTGTTTTGTTGAGTTTCTGACTGTTGAAAGTTACAAAATGATCACTCGACTATTCATATATTCCAAACTCATCTTTTCTATTTGAAAGTTGAAGGTAATTTGAGTTAGACGTTCACCTACTGACTAGATATGATAAAATCATATTTTAATAATGTATATTGAATATGCCGTTGTTTCCAAGCATTGGCTCGACGACATAGTGTAAACAGAGAGTTGATCCACAAAATTCAACTCAAACGGTTATGAGCTCAGATTTCATCATATCACAATCAACAGGTTAACATCCATCTCAGACAAACATTAATTTTTTAATGAAAAAGAACGAGTTTAAAACATATGAATAGGCCGACAACTATTTTGTAACATTTAATAGTTAGGGGATTCAACAAAGTAGTACCCTATAGTTGTATGACCGTTGTAACATTTAATAGTTAAAGGACTCAACAAAACAATTCTCTATATTCGAGAGATCATTTGCGTACTTTACCCAGAATAATAATATCATATAAGAATGTGTATCGAAACAGAGTGAAGGTAAATGACTTACTAGAGTAGAGGATGAACAAAATATTGTAAAAACGTGACATAATGTTTCGAGCACTGGCACGACGACATAATGTTTCGAGCACTGATGTAAACAGAGAGTTAATCCACAAAATTCAACTCAAACACTTATGAGCTCAGATTTCATCATATCACAATCAACGGGTTAACATCCATCTCAGACAAACATTAAGTTTTTAATGAAAAAGAACGAGTTTGAAACAACAACTATTTTGTAACATTTAAAAGTTAGGGGATTCAACAAAGTAGTACCCTATAGTCGTATGACCGTTGTAACATTTAATAGTTAAAGGACTCAACAAAATAATTCTCTTTAATCGAGAGATCATTTACGTACTTTACCCAGAATAATAATATCATATAAGAATGTGTATCGAAACAGAGTGAAGGTAAACGACTTACCAGAGTAGAGGATGAACAAAATATTGTAAAAACGTCAACAGCAAGGTTCGAACTTACGCGGGCGTAGCCCAACAGATTTCAAGTCCGTCTCCTTAACCACTCGGACATATCGACCACAGAATTTTGTGTTTTTCATTTCGGATATTAAACCCTAATTTAATTTAAAGTATTAATGTTAGCAATTGATTTTCAAAGGTTACTATATACTCAAGTACCATACTCTTTGGTCATTTTTGAATTTAGTCTCCGTAATACCATTACTTTCAATTTTTAAGTCAAGCTAGTATTATTTCATTTTAAAATATCATTTAATGAATTAAAAAATATATAATAGTATTGACAATTGGATTTAAAATTTTGAATTTAAAAAAATTGAAAGACTAATTTTTTGACAAATTATAATCTAATTTTAATCCTACTTAGAGAAGAAGAGAATGGGGATTCTATTGGAAGGAAGCAGGGGCAAATGCACTTGACTCTAAGGGACCGACACATACTCATTATTTTAAATAAGTTATTAAATTCAGTTCAATATATTAAGGGAATAAAAAATAAGGAAATTTGTATACCCATTTTGTTAAAGAAAAGTAATATTAAAATTTTGGACATCTATTTTTAAATTTTTGGATCAGCCACATGAAGGAAGAGGAGTACTTCTAATGAGTTTAAAATTCATAACCTAAAAGAATACGAGAAAATAAATATGAACAGCTTAACTAACCAGTTAAACGTTTTTTCTCTAAAAGACTAAATTATTAAAAATAAAAGAACTAAATTCCATGTGCGTGGAGAAACTTATGACATATTTTAATGCTTTTCAAATTCTACACGCATAACTGTCAAAATATATCAAATTGATATAATTTTTTGAATGGAATGGAAAGGCTAAAGAATTACATCAACCTCTACCCCGTAAATAAAGTGGACCATGAACATTTTTATGGAGAATATGATGAAGACTCGTTGGAATCGATTTGCATATAGCTAAAGATCCATTCTCCTTGGGAGAGTTCATGGTCATGTAATGCAAATTGATATAATTTTTAAACCTAAAAAGATAAATTTATTGACTTATTTGTAATTATAATAAAATTGATAAAATAAATTAAATAATACGAATAAATATATTATTATATAAATTTAAAAATTAACACATCATTAATTCTCTTAATCAATTAACATTTAATGATTTGATCGACACCAAAATAAAAAGTTGTTGACTTAATTAACAAAAAGTTTATTTAATAATTAAAATAAAATTGATATTATAATTTATAATTAAATAACTAAAAGAAATAATTTATTTTTTATCATTGGAGAGTGTGGCAAAAGTCATAGACTATCATGTGTGATGCGTCAATATTAAAAAAGTAGGTGTGTAATCACCAATTTTTACCCATATAATAATAAAAATAATAATAACAAAAAAAATGAAGGAACGTAAATCCCTAAATATCCAGGACATTTAATGTCCCGGTTACTGTTGATGCCATCAACAAGCTCTCTAGTAGACTCCACGCCCGATCATTGTGCCACCAAATCCCAGCAGCTTCCTTCACCCCAGCCCCAACGCTCCACTCGTCATTAACAACCACACAAAAGCCATAAGCAACAATTTATTTTTCCATATTATTTTTATGGATGTAACTTGGTTATAAAACCCTAACAAAAACACTATAAAGGGGGAACTTTGAAAAAAATTGTAAAATCTCTCCATTCGAAAAATTTGTAACAACAGGATCTCAGTCCCCATTCATTCAAGAATAATAATACGAAGCCAGAAGAAGAAAAATAGAGATCAATTTCTTTTCAAAGATTTTCTTCACCATAGTTTCATTTTTAGATTACTTTATGTGTGCATAAAAATCTATTCGAAAAAAATCAAAAATAAAAAAGGAAAAGGAGAGAAAGAGAGGGAAGTTTACCTCTCAGCCAAAGATTTGCCGACGTTTGGAGCCACCATTGAAGAATCCAAACGGTGAGGAGAAGCACGGTGAGGAGGGAAACCATATATCTCAAAATTGACCCGATCCAACAGTGGAGGATGGAGATAAGAACGATGGAAGCCAAATGATTCTCGACCCTTTTCCTAGAGTTGGGGGCCTAATCCCACAAAACTGAGCTTTGATTCGAGCTCACGGCTCCAAGACGAGCCAGCCTGTGTAATTTGGGCCTGAAAGACCGCCGGTGACGATTGGCCGACGGTGCGGAGATCGACAGTGTATGAGACAGCCGGTAGGCAGACAAAATTTAGAGAGAATAGAGAGCTTTTCTCTCTAAAAAACAAAAAAAAAATTGAGAAGAATAAAGAAAAGAGAAAATATAAGGGTATTTATACTCAAAACCAAATGGCGCCGTTTTGAACTCCCTACCTGCGCGTTTTGGTCCCGAGGGTCTAACTATCTTCGCGAGCCTCATATTTTACTCACGTGTTCAATTTGGTCACTTGATTTGTTATTAGTTTCTTAATTAATTTTGATTTTTGTCCTTATTTTGATATTTACCATTTTTATTTTTAAATATTAACTTCTGGTTTATTTTCTTTTAGGTCCTCCTATATTTCACGAGTTTTTACATATTATCCCCTATTTTATTCATTCAATAGCATGCTTAATTTTGAATTTATTTCAATTTAGTCACTATATTTCATTCTTTTCATTTATTTCAGTTTTACATCTGTTAATTCTGTTAATTTATGAATTGGTCCTTCATTTCTGTTATTTTATTTTATATCAATTGTGGCCTTGAATTTTATTTTATTACAATGTAGCCCTACTATAATTTATTTTTCTAACTTCTCAATTTTATTATTTTCAAGTTATTTGAATCAAGATTTTGGCTTTGTATTCATTTAATTTAAGCTTTTACACTTTTTTATTCATTTGATCCTTTATTTATTTTTAATCATTGTTTTAATTAAATTGTTTTAGTAAATATTATAATTTGTTCTTTTTATTTCTTTTCAGGTATGTCATCGAAATAAATTCTTGTTAATTCAGATTTAATGATTTTTTTAATATTGACATGTTAATACTTAGATTCCAATTTAGTCTTTTAGGTTTAGATTATTCACATGTTAGTCCTTTAACTTTTAAAATAGGTGAATTCTAATTTGGTCCTTGCTCTCATGCCCAAGGGTTCAAATTCAATTCCCAATTAAAATGATTAATATGACTAATGATTAGAGCCTTAGTTACACTTTAGTCCCTAGACTTTTGACTTTTTACATTTTATACCTTAAACTTTAATTAGATTATCCTTTTGACATAATTGATTAGGATTAATATTAGAGTCTCTATCTTAGGCCTAATTTCACCTTTAATTCTTAAATTAGAAGAATTCTTAATTTGGTCCTCGCTTCTGCTCGAGGTTCCAATTTAATTATTCAAATTGCTTAATTAATCAAAATCGATTAAGGTAATATTAAAGCCTCCAATTTAGGTTAGATTTTAATTTAGTCCCTTTAATTTAGGGATCATATCTATTATTCGATTCAATAGCGGGTTAAAATCAAGTAAGATTAATATTAGAGCCTCCATTTTTAGGTTTGGGCCTTTTTGTTCTTTAATTTTCATAATTGGACACTTTAAGATAGAGAAAGCCTTAATTTACCCTTATTTTAATTAGGGTTAATAATAAATTGTTTGATTGCATCATGTTTTAAAATCTAAGGCAATGTTCACTTATAAAAAGAGTCAATAGTATATCTCATGCAAGTATGCTCAGAGGTGACTATTGGTGATTCCTGAAATAGGTCGATATTCTTTTCAAAATTGCATCATGATTTCTAAAATATTGAGGCAATGCCCGGTTATCAGGCACAATAGTCGATCTCTCGCATTTATGCTAGGGCGAATGTTATTGGCTTTTATAAACGAATACCCTTTTTAGCTTTGCATCCGTAATGATTTTTAACTTAAATAAAGTTCGAACTGAAAATTCTCAATTCTAAATATAGGGTAATCAA